CGATGTTATGTAAGCATCGACGTTTATGGAGTTATTTGAAAGATATAAATAAACCGGTGAATAAATGAATGAATGAATGTATGAATGAATGAATGTATAAATGAATGTATAAATGAATGAATGAATAAATGAATGAATGAATGAACGAACTAATTAGTTAATATATGAATGAATGAATCAATATATGAATAGATGAATGGAAGAATGAATGATATTGAATATCTTCAACTGAATTAAGTAAAAAAACACCACCAAAAAGTAATAAAATGAAATTTTAAATATTATTTATAATTATAATTTCGGTATAATTATAATTATAATTAACTATAATTTCGTTCGATCCCTCAAAAAATTCAATCAGAAATTATTTCACTATCGCCACTTTAATCTGAGAACCAGATAAAAACCTGACAATCAATTGAACGCTAACATGATGATAAATACTGCAGCACTTTCTCACATATAATTCAAACACGCACACACACACGCACACACGCACATACACACACACACACACACAGATATACAAACAAACATACGCACATCCATACATACTAACTTGTACTAACACATACAAACCAGAATAGAAACAGCAACAGCAGCAAATATTTTGATACAAATTTGTATCATGATACAAACAATATCAGATCATACGATAAACACAAAATATAACTTTAACAATTACTTTGTATAAAAAACATATACACAAATACATATATCAACGTTTTTATTAACAACTCTAAACATATATACTATATTGCTTGAATGTTTAAATATATTTGTGTGTATTTATCAGACAATTGTATGTATGCATGTGTGTGTGTATATGTATAAAAGTGTGCGTGTGTGTGTGTGTTTGTGTGTGCGTACGTGTGTGTGTGTGTGTGTGTGTGTGTGTGTGTGTGTGTGTGTAACGACGATGACGATGACTAAGAAGATGGTGATTAATTAATTCTTTTATTTATTTTAATGCCAATTAGAACCTTTTATGTCGTGTTCAGTTTGTTGTTGCTGTTGTTGTTGCTGTGTTCAGTTTGTTGTTGTTGTTGCTGTTAATGTGTTCAATTTTTTGTTGTTGTTATTATTATTATTTTTATTATTATTATTTATGTGGTTATATAGATGTTTTATTGGTTTTGTTGTAATCTTGTAAGTTTAATTGATTGTTTGTGTTTGGCTGCTGGTAAAGAAGCGTTTTAACGTATATGAAAACAACCATGCAAACAGACAAACATACAAACAGACAAACATACGAACAGACAAACATACGAACAAACGAACAAAACAACAAACAAACAAATTCATACACGTCGTCGGTTCGCGAATTAAGAATTGGATGACAACAATTGAAATTTACAAAGTTCTCATAGATTTTTTCATTATTCTTATTATTATTCTTTTTATTATTTTTTAAATGTTTATAATTTCATGATTGAGTTGCATGTGTTAACTAACAATACATGTTTGTCTATGTCTTTATCTGTCTCTGTGTACCAACGTATGTATGTATTTTTGTTTGTTTGTTTGTTTGTATGTATGTATGTATGTATGTATGTATGTATGTATGTATGTATGTATGTATGTATGTATGTATGTATGTATGTATGTATGTATGTATGTATGTATGTATGTATGTATGTATGTATGTATGTATGTATGTATGTATGTATGTTGTATGTATGTATGTATGTATGTATGTATGTATGTATGTATGTATGTATGTATGTATGTATGTATGTATGTATGTATGTATGTATGTATGTATGTGTATGTATGTATGTATGTATGTATGTATGTATGTATGTATGTATGTATGTATGTATGTATGTATGTATGTATGTATGTACGTACGTATGTATGGTTTTTTTTAGTTTTGAGATGTTTTTTGTGTTTGTTGAGCCATTGAAGAAATGGAGTTATTTGTTTGTTGGATTTGTTGCCCGCAAGCTACAAACTTGTAAACTTAATGTATTTTTGTATGTATCTATGTTTGTATGTGTGTGTTTGTGTCTGTGTGTGTCTGTGTGTGTATGTATGTGTGACCAAACGCGTTGATGAAAAACTGTTTGAGATTTTTAAGATTATCCATTTGTTTGTTCGCTTTTTTGATTCATACATTTATACACCGATACATTCATACAAACGTACATACAAACAAACATACACACAAAAATACATACAAACAAACAAACATACATACAAACAAACCTAAAAACATACATACATACAAACATACACGTGTATTTGTATCAATTAATGCGACAACGGATATGAGATTTTACGTAATGATTGATGAAGTTAATCAAACAAGTTGTTTGCATAGGTGCCTCTGTATATTTGTTTGTATGTATGCGTGTACGTGAATGTATGTGTGTGTACGTCTGAGTATGTGTGTATGTATGTATGTCCGTATATATATTTACATATGTATGTATGTTATTATGAGTTTTGTGAGTATGTATTTTTTGTGTTTGATGTTTTTTTTGGCTTTTTTGGAGCATATGTATGTTTTTTGTATAAATGTATATGGAAAAATGATAGTTTTGTATGTTTTTGTATGTGCAGTTGTACGTATGTTTGTATGTTTTAGTTTGTATTGTATATGTATGTACGTTAGTTTGTATGTTATGTTTAACACATACCATTCAGGCAGTAACAATTTTAAATGAAACTTCTAAAATTACCATTTTGATGACCATCGTCTTGGTAATTTCTGGCAGCACCATCATCATCGTCATCTTTATCGTCGTCATCTTACTCACAACCATCATCTTCTTCTTCATCATCATCTTCTTCATCATCTTCATCATCTTACTACTCATCAGTGTCCTAGCCACCGTCAATACCACCAACAGCGTCATCGTCGTCGTCGTCACCATCAATCTGCCCCATTTATCACACAGTGTACAAATACATGCATTCCCATTACTATCGATGATAATTTAATTCTATTGTAACATTTCCTTTCCGCTTGCCAAATTATATTTTCAATCATTCATTCGTTTGATCAGTCGTTCATTCATTCATTCCTTCATTTGTTTGTTTGTTTATATGTTCGTTCGTTTGCTAATTCTTGTGCTTGTTTGTTTGTTGATTTGCACACACACACACACACACACATACAATTTCCAACAAACATTCCCACCAAAATACACATACAAAATACAAAAACTACTATTTCGGACGTACTCGGACACACACACACACACACACGCAAACACAACACACGTACACACATACACACACACACACACTGCGTAATATATCTATGTAGATAGATACGTAGATAATTTTGAAATACGCAGCCATTTGAATAAAATTCATTCAATCGATTCAGTTAACACAGACATAAAAATAATTTAATTTCAATTTCTTGAATTCTTCCATTCATTCATTCATTCATTTATTCATTTATTTGTCTGTTCGTTCTTTCATTCATTTGTTTGTTCATTCATTCGTTTTTGTTTAAAACTTCTTTGGTAATTTTTAGCTTTAAATTTGTTCCTTAATGATTCAGTTTTTAAATTTTTAATTGCCTAAGCACTCAGTCGTGAATTTTGAAAAGTTTGTCATTCTCATTATCACTCACTCACTCACTCACTCACCCACCCACTCACTCACTCACCCACCCACTCACTCACTCACTCACTGATATCTGATTAAGACTTCGAATTTTAGAAAACCATCCTTATAAACAACAACAACAACAGCAATTAAATTTACGAAAAATAAAATCCTACAAAAAATTATTTAGCTAATAGTAAATGAAATTTTAAAATAATAACAATGACGGATTAAACCGGTTAGGTGAGGATGTATTCGAGTTTTCAAGTACTTCTTGATTCAAGACATTTATGTTAATAATAATAAATAAATAAATATATCTAATATTTTTGTATAATATCATAATTTATAAATATAATAATAAATAAATAAATATATCTAATACATCTAATACAATATTATAATTTCTTACATAAATATGCTTTACGTATTTATATTAGAATCGATGGCTATAACGCACCGTTAGGCTTGTGTGATTTTCAATGAGTCCGCTAGACTTTTAAACAATTAAACACACAATTAAACATACATACATTTAAGATGAATTAAGCATACAATTAAATACCTACATTTAAAATGAATTAAACATACAATTAAACATACATACATTTAAGATGAATTAAGCATACAATTAAATACCTACATTTAAAATGAATTAAACATACAATTAAACATACATACATTTAAGATGAATTAAGCATACAATTAAATACCTACATTTAAAATGAATTAAACATACAATTAAACATACATACATTTAAGATGAATTAAGCATACAATTAAATACCTACATTTAAAATGAATTAAACATACAATTAAACATACATACATTTAAACCAGTTAAACAATACAATTTAACGTATAATTAACCACACAAAACAATTGTCTATTTGTTTTTATTTTTTTACCGTTAATTTGAAGATAGAATAATTTCAGGCGCTAACTAACGGTCATCATCGTTATATATGTTGTCGTCGTTGTCTTGTTGTTATATACGTTGTTGTCAGCGTAATTAATTATCATAAAGATGGTATCATTGATGTGTTGTATGGAAAAGACAACAACAACAACAAAAACAATAACATTAATAACAACGTCGTTCTCACCATCCTCATCATTTAACACGGAAATGTGCGTAATTAATAGCTTACCATCAAAAATATTAACAAGAACAACAATATCAACCCCTTCAACAACAAAAGATACACACACATACAAACACTCGCAGACATACACACATACGCATACACACACACAAAGGCACAAACATTGAATAATAATTACAAAGCGGACACAGATATAGCAAACAACGATATGGCTACAACAATGAAATGGAATAAATTTGCAAATAGCTCTGGCACTCATAAACTCGGATTATTTGAATTTATTATTTTTTAATTTTTATTTTTTTGATAATAATTAATAAAATAATAATCATTATTGATATTTTTCAATATTTTATGAAAATGCCAAAAAATTCAGTAGCAGCAAATAGGGATTGTAAAAAAATTTAAATAACAAAGACAAGGAAATATAAACTTTGACAAAAAGACATAGAACTAAATATACAAACTAACAAACATACTAACATACTCATAAATAAATATACAAACTAACAAACATACTAACATACTAAATTACAATGACGACAATAATTATAATAATAACAATTATAATGTTAATTAAAGAAATCTAAAATTTTATAAGCAAGCAAAGGAATTCAACTTGTAAACAAGGACACGCTGTAATAATAATTAAATATTTTTAGTCTTTGGTTTTACAATTTTTATCGATTAAGCACTTTAATATGTGATCTTTGGTAAATCGACTTTGCGAGTAAACACTCTATATATTGCGGGTATCTATCCGGTCTAAGTCAGTGTAAAGTTAGATCTTCATCGAATTAGATTAACAATAAAATTAATTCGAAAAATAATTAATTAAGTAATTTCAAAATTAATTAATTGAAAATGGCAACAGCTAAAGTTTTTAATGAAAGTATGAAGGTTGGTGCAAAGAAGCAGTTGTTTGACCTGCCACCCAACGCTGAGTTGAGATTTGAAGTGGAGGAGGATTCAGGCCCCATTCAAATCGAGTTATCGTCGGGGAATGCTGAATATTTCGGCACTGAATTGGTTCTAAAAAGAAATTACACGTTTCCAGTTGGAGCAAAAGGTGCCATCTTCACTTACCATGGCTGTCAATTGTGGGTAATTGGCAAGAGTGAAGATCTGTACACGAAAGATAGCCCAACGATGAACATATACATAAACTTGCACGACGCCCTCGATCAGATGAGGAGGAAAGCCGTTGAAACGATGAATAGGGGACCGAGAGTTTTAATAGTAGGACCGTCAGATGTAGGCAAAAGTACGCTCAGTAGAATTCTGGTGAATTACGGGACGAGACTGGGCTGGACCCCCCTGTTCATTGATCTGGATGTCGGACAGAATGAAATCTCTATGCCTGGAACTGTGAGTGCCCTGTGCATAACACAGCCGGTCGACATTGAAAAGGGCTACGATACGAAAAACCAACTGGTCTTTCATTACGGTCACGAGTCTCCGACAGAGAATACAAAGTATTTCAATTCAGTGGTCAATTTTTTGGCCGAGTGCGTCAACTTCAAGTGCGAGATGAGCGATGAGTGTAACGCCAGTGGAGTCATCATAAATACAGGCGGATGCATAAGGGATGAAGGGTACAAGTGCTTACTTAATGTTGCCGCCGCCTTCGAAATTGAAGTCCTCGTAGTGATTGATAACGAACTGCTCTACACGAAATTTCAAAACGATCTTCCTCTTTTTGTGAAAACTGTGATGCTTCCAAAATCAGGCGGCGCTGTTCAAAGAAGCCAGGAATTCCGAGCGAATAGCATGTATATGAATATAAAGAAATATTTTTACGGTGCTTCAAATGAGTTGCATTCGCACACGTGCGATGTTCAATTTCAAGAGGTTGAGATATACAAGATTGGAGCTCCCAAACTTCCGGCATCAATGCTCCCATTGGGAGTCATCCTTGAAGACTCCGATATGAAATTAACCCCTGTATCAGTGTCTGGCTCGTTGGAAAACTGCGTACTGAGCACCAGCTTTGCTTCGACCAGAGACGAGATCATGAAGAATAACGTGTCCGGATTCGTTGCTGTCTTGAAAGTGGACACACAGAAACAAACGATGACCATTTTGTCGCCGGAGCCCAGGCCATTCTCCTGGAACATTCTACTGCTCATGGACATAAAATTCTCGGAGATATAGAAAGACGATACGCTCTGCGCTTATAAGCATTATTCGTTATAACGTTTGTAATAATTAATAATATTATGAATGTTATAACTTTTCATCTTCTTGAAACGTATTTCATGTAAATTATATGTAAATAGTTCAAACTATTTATCTTTTTTAAAAGCATAGTAAATATAATAAACAAATGTATTTACTCGAATTACTGGTTTTTAAAATGAATTCGAACGAAATTTTTTAGCGACAAAGTATTAATGATAAAATATATACAGAAGCATAAATACACATACATAATAACACGTACACATACAAACACACGCGCACATATACGAGCCAACATAGCAAGAAATATGGGACCTAAAACTATTCAATTGGGTTATTGTTTCCGAATTTACGAAGGATAAATCTAATTTCGACTCATATAAAGTCTTCACATTATTTTATTCCTTTTTTAGTATTTACTATTATTATTATTTATCTTTTCCAATTGTTATTATTACTTTATTATGTTCCTACTATTCTCAAATAGTTATTTGCAACAGCAGCAGGGCACAGCAATGCAACAATGTTACTGATAATGACGTTATTTCATAACAAATATAGAAAGATTTTTATGCGAAAACAATAGAATTAGTTTTTCTTTGCAGAATATTCTATTTAAAAGCACACACATTCACACACATACATACATACAAACACACTTACGCACACAGACACAGACATACCCAAACGAACATTCGAAACAAATACATGCATATAATGTATCAACAATACATAATCTGAGAAATTTTATGGATGACATTATAACACGCGACCACACACATACACACTCACATACACACACTCACACACACACACACAAATTTAAACATACACACACAAACACACACACAAACACAAACAAAGCGATATAAAACACATTCACCGAGATAGAAAAATGCAAGCCGCATATATAAAAACTTCAAATTTTAGTTTCTCTTCTTCTTCCTCTTTTTATTATTATTATGATTGCTACATTTGTTATTATTTTACTTACTACACCTACACATGCAAATGTGTGAATAAATAAACATATGACACGCACAAAAAAACACGCTCACACAAACACATACATACACGCACGAACTCACGCACATACACACACACACACGCATTTATAAACGCACATACGCACAAGCATATACACGCACACATAGGCATAATCACGTCATTTCGCAGAAACAAATAATAGAATGCTTACACGCACGCACCCACACAAACACACGCACACAAAAAATGCGCGTAGGAACATGAAATTTGAATTTGCAGTAAAAAGCGCTAAATAAATTTCATTTGTAATAACGTAAACAATTTCTGATCAAGAGAAATAATGATAGTTGTAGCTATATTTAGAAAAAAAATAATGACAATAAAGATAGAAATATTTCGTCACAACACACTAAGATGCACAAAAACACACGCAGACGCAAACATACACACACAAACACACACAAACACACACACACAAATAGGCAAACATTTGTACACAAATACATATACAAACAGAAGTATTTCTGTTTGCTTCTTACACACAAACAAGCGTTTAAAATAAACACTAAACACATGCATTCACAGACATACACTGAAAATCACACTGTATGTACACACATATACACACGCATACAAAATTACACATACACGCGCACACACGCACACACTAGAGATTGTAGCTCTGTGGAAATAAAGATCTTTGAAGTTTAGTGACAAAGTTATTGAGGGTTGAAAATGTCCTTTGTAATTAAATCATTATGATGATGATGACGACGATTGTGATGACGATGATGACGATGATGATTGTGGAAAATTATTGTGATGATGATGACGATGATGATAATGATGGCGATGATGATGATGATGTGACAAGAAGAAAGAAATATCAGCGTTATTTAAATTACAGAACGATAACCATTTTAACGCAATTGCATCAAGACAGATATACAACCATCATTATCAGTACTGCCACCACCATCATCATCATCATTATCTTCATCATCTTATTATTCATCTTCGTCATCATCATAAACAACACAATCTTCAACAACAACAACAACAACATCAACAATAGCAACAACAACAGTAACAACAACATCAACAATTGCAACAAAACTAATGATAATAAATTTCCATTGAATGCCTTCCGCCCTGTTATGAGTTTATTTAAACGCCAACCAGCCAAGCAACTATGGCTAGCCACTCAAAAACACCTGTCACTAAACACTTCTAAACATACATGTATACACGCACACATACACGCACATACATACACACATAAAAATATACATACATACATGCATACATACATAAATACATACATACATACATACATACATACATACATACATACATACATACATACATACATACATACATACATACATACATACATACATACATACATACATACATACATACATACATACATACATACATACATACATACATACATACATACATACATACATACATACATACATTCATACATACATACATGCATACATGCATACATGCATACATGCATACATACATACATTCATACATACATACATACATACATACATACATACATGCATACATGCATACATGCATACATGCATACATGCATACATGCATACATGCATACATGCATACATTCATACATTCATACATGCATACATACATGCATACATACATACATACATACATACATACATACATACATACATACATACATACATACATACATACATATATACTTACATACATACATACATACATACATACAAAAACATACAAAACAATTAAACATAATTTGTTTGCACACGAAGATGTGTAGTTTTAAACAAATATTATTTACTACTACTACTACTGCTGCTGCTGCTGCTACTACTACTACTACTGCTGCTGGTGCTATGGAACGTTTAAATATTTCTGAAAGGAACCTGCTAAACGCTAACTCGCACATGCAAGCACATATAAAAACACACACAACACACACACACACAAATAAATAATTATATATTCACGTGAGTGTGTAATATTGTGTATAGATACGCAGGTATGCAAGTATATGTATGTAAGTATGTTTGTAGTTAGTAGTTTTTGTAAGGGTATGCAGAAACTTGAACATGACGAACGTTCAGCGAGAGTCTTCAGAGGAAGAGTTTCCGTCAACGAGTGTTTCAGCCCGTCAACTTCCAGACACTTTCGAGAAACAGGGCCACATCCAGAGATCAGTTGGATGTCTCTCGCTGAACAAACAATTTGCCTCGCTTTGAAATCAACTCTTTTTATACTGTAAAATTGTGCAGGCGTGCCAGAAAGTTCACATATAAACATATCATGTGAGTTACATCGACGAGCCAAGTAATACGCTATGCCGAGTCTGGGAGTGTTAAGTAGCGGAAGCCTTACGTGCAAACGAGTTTGTCTGTTAACTTTATAAACTCGCATTCCAGTTCCCTAACCATATCCAGTAAGACGTTTGCTCGGCTGTACGTCCTATGTTCTGCATACAACTTGATCGTCTTTTACCTGCCAAACCCAAATCCTTCAAAAAGCTGTACGCTAAACATCCAAAAACACTTTTTGCACCGACTTCAACTGCGTACAAAAAACATCTTAACCCACCTTGCTTCATCTCACTAACAAGCTCTTCATACTTGCCTGTTTTTATAGCGTACCTTGCTGTTATATTAGCCTCATAGGTAGAGTCAGTTCTACTAAAATAACAGTGTCTGCCGATACCAACTGTACCACCACGTCAGGTCTCGCTCCTGTATCCTTCATGAACGATGGGTAGTTTCTCATGCCCTTCAAATCTGCCAGGACCTTCCAATCTTTGCCGTTATCAAAAATACTTTCTCGGTTGTAAACTTCATTTCTCGTGGTTTGATCCAACTCACCCTCTCTTAGGAAATGTATGCATGTATGTTTGCTTGTATGTATGTATGTATGTATGTATGTTTGTTTGTTTGTTTGTTTGTATCGTTTTGTATGTAGTTTGGCTATTTGATGGCTTTTGTTGCATCTCAGTAGAATAAAGCTACATTTAAATAAATCATTCATTTGTAATTGTTAGTGAGGATCAGCAGTAGCTGTTGTTGATGTTTTTGTTGCTTGAGTTGATGTTTTTGTTGCTTGAGTTGATGTTTTTGTTGTTCACGTTGATGTTTTTGCTGTTCTTATTGTTCATATCATGTATTTGTTGGTTTGGTTTGCGTTGTTTTGGACAAAATTACACAACATCACGACTACCAACAACAACAACATTAAAAACAACAACAACATTGAAAGCCACAACAACAACAACAACAACATCCCAAACACCGATAACAACTCTTGCACAAACAAAACAATCAGATGTCATCTAAGACCTATGATTCTGCGGCTTATGATTGATTGTATAATTGTTTGTACATGTATGTATGTGCGTATGTATGTATGTGTGTATATATGTGTGTATGTATGCATGTATGTATGTATGTATGTATGTATGTATATATGTATGAATGTATGTATGTTTGTATGTATGTTCGTATATCGATAGAATCACATAATACAATTATCATATCAATTGCCATTAAAATGCAAATTGGTAACTACGGCGATGACGACGATGATGACGTTGGTAATGATAATGATGCCATCGCTGATGATGACGATGGTGATGATGATGGTGATGATGTGATGATGTGATGATAATGACGATGATGATGTCATTTTTTTCCACTCACGTTCCATAAAATTAGCAAGCAAACTAAACCGAAAAATACTAGCAACAACAACAGTAGCAGCAGCAACAACAACACAACAACAATAACAACAACAACAGCAACAGCAACAACAGCAACAGCAACAACAATAAAAACAACGCCATCGGCTGTGCCAACAGCAAACAACGTGCAACATCTCATCTCAAATTATTTTATGCCGAAAGTATATAAAAAATGAATCCCATAAATATTAATAATAATAACAAATAATAATAATAAATAATAATAATAAGCAATAATAATAATCTTTATTATAGTATTAAAAGTGTCGCCGTATAAAAAAGTCAAGTCATGTGTGTTTGTGTGAGTTTGTGTGTGTGTGTGACTTTGTTTGTATGTGTATATTTGTGTGTGTTTTTGTTTAAGTGTGTGTGTGTGCATGTGTGACTTTGTATGTGTATATTTATGTGTGTGTGTTTGTGTGAATATCTGTATACGAATGTTTATATACATACCTACAAAATTTTAATTTATATGTACACATAAATGTATATATTTAAAATGTATCAACAACAACAACAAAAACAACAGCAACAATAACAATAATAATAATAACAACAACACCTTTTATTACTGTTTAAAACTGTATTTCTTTAGAATGGGAAGATGATAACGTGCAAGAATAAAAAATCTAAGAACTTATTATTATTACAACCACTACTATAATTATAATAATATTTATTATTATTACTATTATTGTCAGGTTTTTTTATTAGTAATCTTCCCGAAGGCAAGTAAGTAAAAAACAACAACGCTTTTCGCCATACTCCCAACGTTACAGCTGTATTATCGATTATATGATAAAATAAATAATAATAATAATAATAATAACAATAATAATAAAAATAATTACGATGATGATAATAATAGTAATAATATCCGTTTGATTTTTCTGACATTAAAACGACTTTCTACATAATCGTATCACCAGAAGCTTCTACTGAGTTATCACATTCGTCTTCATCATCATCATCCTTATTATTGTTATTATTATTGTTGTTGTTGTTGTTATTATTATTGTTATTATCATCATCGTCGTCGTCGTCATAATTTAAATAATTAAAACTTAATACTGTAACCCTACACCGATGGTATCGTATCAGGCAGTAAATATGAAATGAAAAAAAAATTATCAATTAGATTGAAATGAAATGAATAAATTACATTTGAATTCGTTCGTTCGTTCGTTCGTTCGTTCGTTCATTCATTCATTCATTTTTCATACTTTCTCATACCAGTGCACATACATACACAACACACACACACACATACACACACAACACACACACACCGACACAGACTCAACTTTTTGGAAACTATCGAATTTCAGTCCTCGAAATCAATTTAATTTTATTCTAATCCATAGATGAATACATTATAACAAAAATAATTTTGCTTTTATTAATTATACATGTACGTTTCTCTTCCTCTCTCTCTTTCTCCTGTTCTCTTTTTTTCTCTTTCTTCTTTTTTCTCTCTCTCCCTCTTTCTCTCTCTCTCTCTCTCTCTCTCTCTCTCTCTCTCTCTCTCTGCAATCATTACCTCGTTATATTGATTTTTAATGACGGTAATATGTTTTTAAATTTATGGCTCCTCTTCATGCCGGAGAGGTTGGTGGTGATGATGATGATTGTGATTGTGATGAGGATGGTGGTGATGATGAAGATGATGATTGTGATGATAATGATGGTAATGATGATGATAATGATGATGATAATGAAGAGTATTTCAACACAACACGTATCTTACGAGCTACCAATTTTAATTTTAGACGTCAAAATCGCGTCATCATCATCGNTCATCATCGGNTCATCATATTTCATCATCTTCATCATCGTCGTCATCATTTTCATCATCTTCATCATCTTCATCATCGTCGTCATCATCATCTTTTTCTCCATTATCAAAGCAGTTCCAAACTTTTTCGTTGTCATCACCGTTGTTATTAGAAGTTTCATCACTGCATCATCAACATAACAATGCAGTGAACCTTGAAGATGCAATCAAAACAAAGCAACAACAACAACATCATCATCAACAACAACAACTAAAACAACAAAAACTACAACAGCATCAACAACAACAACAACAACAACAACATCAGCAACAACAACATCATCATCAACATCATCATCAACAACAACATTAACAACAACAAAAACTACAACAACAGCAACCACAACATCAACAACAACATCATCAGCAACAACAACAAAGACTACAACAACAACATCAACAACAACAACAACTACAACATCAACAACAACAATTGAAAGCGTTTTATTATTATCGCGTCAGTCTTAGTAGAGATGCGATCGATTGTGAGAAAAAACTCCTTTTATTACATTTCAATTATACTTCATTTTAAAGTATGCAATCATAATTCTACGTAACGCCATTATTGTATATTATTATTATAAATTATAATACTTATTATAATTATTATTATAATTATTATAATTATTACAAATATTATTACTATTACTCTCAATATTAGAAACATCAATAAATTAATATTATTATTATCATTAGTAGTAGCGGCAGCAGTAGTAGCAGTAGTAGTAGTAGTAGTAGTAGTAGTTTAGTAGTAGTAGTAGTAGTAGTAGTAGTAGTAGTAGTAGTAGTAGTAGTAGTAGTAGTAGTAGTAGTAGTAGTAGTAGTAGTAATAGTAGTAGTAGTAATAACAATAACAATAACAATAATAGCAATTTAACAAGGTAATAATAATAATAATAATAATAACAATAATAATAATAATAGTAAACAATAACAATAATAATAATAGTAATAATAATAATAATAACAACAATAATAATAATAGTAATAATAATAATAATAGTAAATAATATTATTAATAATAACAACAACGCGATTAACTATAACAAAATGGGATTGATGAAAGGACGATCGATGTAATCCGCCCATTTCAAAACCGGTATCGAATAGAGTGTGCTCAACTTTTTTCTTTTTTTTTTCAAATGTATAAATTTTATTTTCGAAAATAAATAAAAAAAAATGTTATACTTGAAAAACGCTATACCCAACACACACAAACATACCCACGGACACACCCACGGACAAGCACACACACAAACACACACACGGACAGACAGACGGACATACATACATACATACATACACACACACATACACACTCACACATAAATACATACATACATACATACATACACACATAGACATAGACATATACACACATACAGATGCACATGCATACATACGCACACACGCACGCACACACACACGCACACGTACATATATACAAAACGCACGCACACATGCAATTGAAATATAGAATTGACAGTTTTATAATTAAGAAAGTTTACAAACAATGGAGACAAGATCATTGTTAAACTGCTACAAAAACAGAAAATAAAATAAAAAATAATTTTTTTTTCACATAACATAATGTATGTTTAAGTATGTATGTAAGTAAGTAAGTAAGTATGTATGTATGTATGTATGTATGTATGTATGTATGTATGTATGTATGTATGTATGTATGTATGTATGTATGTATGTATGTATGTATGTATGTATGTAAGCATGTATGTTGTATGAATGTATGTATGTATGTTAATTTGTTTGTTTGAATGTACATATTTATACATATTTTGTTTGTTTGAATGTATGTATATTTGTTTGTATGCATGTATGTATTTTTGTTGTAGGCATTTATGTATGTATAAACGCCAAATTTTTTTGAAAAAACAATTTTTCATATTGTGTTTTATAATTTGATCCTTACTTAATAATGCATGCGTTATTTATACAATCTTCTTTACATAAAAATTTTTCCATTAATACACAGACACCACACACATACACACACACACACACACAAGTATATAAATGCACACATACAAACAAACATACAGGTACCAAGGTACATAAAATTTTTCACAGTTACGTGTTATCTTAAAATTGTAAAAAAAAAACAACACGTCAAATTTCATTGTTTGAAAATTTTTCTTAATTCAATTGTATTGTATTGTATGTTTGTATCATTTGTATATGTCTTGTATGTTTTTTATAGTATGTTTTGTATATGTTTTGTATGTTTAATTAATTTGTATCAAATAGAAAACTTTTCAACACACGTCAAATTTCATTGTTTGAAAATTTTTCTTAATTTAATTATACTGTGTTTTATGTTGTGTTTTGTTTGTATCATTTGTATATGTTTTGTATGTTTTTTATAGTATGTTTGTATATGTTTTGTATGTTCAACTCAATTGTATGAAATAGAAAACAACATTTGTATAATTTTTGTTCATTCTGTCAGTTCTTAATTCGTTTTCACGTCATAAACTGAAAAAAAAATTGAGCAAAAATAAATTCTGATATCATCGAGAAAGTAAAACCTGTCAAAACTTCATGATAATTTTTATTATTTTCATTATCGTCCTCACCATCGTCGTCGTCGTCTTCATCACCATTTCAACAATTTTTATTATTTTCATTATCGTCTTCATCACCATTACAACCTTTCTCACACAACTTCTCATACATGGGCATGTAAAATACGTACTACACTTATTTCCAAAACTACTCATACACACATGTACATCGGCAAAACCGTACATACATACATATATATACAAAATACACTCATAACTACACACACACAGACACACATACAAACAAACATACACATAGAAACTCACACATGCACACAGGCATAGGCCATTATATATTCAGCGGAGCGTATCATCACTCCAATTTTATCTCGATCAAATCTAACAAATTCAATTATCCATCACAGACATCACAGACGTAAAATTGCTTGCACGCACACAACCACACACAAACACATACACACACACACAAATCATACTGTACACACCACACATACTTACGCGCATACAAAAACAGCGCACATACAAATCAATATTAAAAAGTATTAAACACACTACCTACAAATACACATGCACATACATTTTTTCACACACATAATGAAAATACATTCACACATATACACACACACACATACATACACATATACAAACATACACACGTATACACATACACAAACACATATTTGCATGCCGTTTTTAATAATCGTTAATAATTTTAAACACGCACGCATTCATGTGTCTGGCATCACGCACGTTTATGCATAATTTTCAAAATAATTAAATAGACGAACCAACACATATACACACCTACACACACACGCACACACATACACAGACACATAATGCACACATTCTCACACATATTTATACACTTAACCACACACACATACAAACACTTACAATCATAATATACGTATAGATTCATACAACAAATATATTTATGTGTGTTTGAGCATATAGCATAGATATATGTGTATGTTGACATGTGTGTTTGTTGGCGTAAATACGTCTGAGTGTCAGTGGAAAGTGTGTATGTGTATGTGTGTGCGTGTGTTTGTGTGCGTGTGCGTCACATCATTGAGAATTGAATGAAATATAGATTCTAGCAGGCCTTAAATAGTAGTAGTTGCTGTTGAACACAATCATACGGTCCCTTGAACACACATATAATATCCCAGGTAGTTGCGATAAATGTGAGCGTGTGCGTGCGTGCGTGTGCGTGTGTAAGTGTTTATTTATTTGTATTTCTCGCTATCTCTCTCTCTCTTTCTCTTTTTCTTTCTTTTCTTTTTCATCTCTCTTTCTTACTTCGCGAATTTTCATTTCGTTTGTTCAAGTGCCTGCGTGTCTGTTTAACTCTTGGTCGTTCTACGTGCGTATGTGTTTGCTGCTGGGCTATTTTTTTAAACGAGTATCTATCTATTTGTCGTTCGGGACTGATCAATATTGAGAGGAGACAGCCCTTACATTAGGTACACCAATAGCCGTGACCTCAGAACGGCGGCAAACGCAACGTTAAAATAAAAAATGACATTTCTATTGTTAACCACACGCAGAATGACGACGACATCAACTTTAATGACATTAACATTACAGTAAGAACATCAACAATAGCAACAGCAACAACGACAAAACCAACAACAAAACCAACAACAACAACAACAAAACAAACAACAGCAACAACATCAATAATGACATTAGCAACAACAAAAACATCAACGCGAACGCTTCGAGCACTGAATTGGTCTTAGACATCTGTCATATATTAGAATCCAAAACTCCCATTGGCCGGTTATATAAACCTATCATTTGCATACATCAATCTATATCATACAGATCTCCTATCTGATGTATGGTAATGTATATATGTCATGTATTTGTGTAGTGATTTGTATGAGTGTATGAGCTGGAACATTGGATGTATGTATTGCATTCTTCAAGTACATTCACACATATATGCATACATACATGCATGCATGCATACATACAAGCATACATACATACATACATTCATGCATACTTACATACATACACTCACATACAAACAAACAAACAAACAAATATACCTACACTTATAATTATTTTCTAAGTTAATATTATTAGTAGTAGTATATGTTTTTGTAGTTGTTTTTTGCAATTATCTCAGTTTTTTTTAGTTCTATCATTTCAATTAGACGTTTTTATGATGACAGACAGACACATACACAGTGAGAAGGAAAAAGGAAAGAGTGGGAGAGAGAAAAAAAAAGAGATAGAAAAAAAAAGAGAGAGAGAGAGAAAGAGAGAGATAACGGCCTTTCTTCCATTGTTTCAAATTCAATGAAAGTAAAAAATTGACAACGTTGAAGTGTTATGTCCTGTTTGTGTGTGTGTGTGTATCTGTGTATGTGTGTTTGTGCGTGCTTGCGTTTATTTTTGTGTTTGCATGTTTGTTCTCTCTGAATTTGTAGGTATGTACACTTTTGTATAAACAACACCCACCAACGCCAGCAGAACGCTGATGAATTTATAATTTGATACATTGACGAACAAAGGATGGATCGTCCGATGCCTTCATTGAAAGTTGATTTCTGAGGACAAAACATTTTCTGTCACATTCCCACACATACTGTTATCTACATATTTTAATCCTATACATGTGGATGCATTGTTCTATGTGGTGGAATTAATTTTTTTCCTATATAAAAATATCAATAATATGAAATGAACTAATAACAATGTTTTATCATACACACAAATACACACACACACTCACTCACACACACACACCACACACATGTTCTATAATAGACCAGATGATTATCTGATCTGAATGATTGAATAGTCAGCAACTAAGTTAGCTAAATCGGTAGGACTGCTGTCGTTTGAGGGATTGTTGAGAATCAGTTGCGCTCTAGCCAGGCTCAAACACATAGTGAATCAGATATAAGAAAAATTTGTAATTTATGTTTGCGCCATGAAAGTAGTATAAAAAGAATTAATACTACTACCACTTCTTCTTCTACTAACAATACTGCTTCTACCAGTATATTATAATTATTTATATTTTTATTTTCGGTATAATAAAAAATAACAATAAAAAACAATAATAATAATTTAAAATAATTAATAATAATAATTGATCATCACATTTACAAGCTTTAAAGTATTCAATAGAAATACAGATTATAATAATTATCGAACGGCAAATAACAACTGACTAAATGCATATGTGCGTGCGTGCGTGTGCGTGTGTGTGTCTGTGTTTAAAAAATTTTTCAATTGTTAATCATCACTAGCGAGTTGTTAATAGCGCAAACTTCTCGTCACGTTACCTATCATCTTAAATATTTCATTCGTCTCATGCTCTTCACTCATTCATTCATTCGCTCATTCATTCGTTCTTTTGTTTATTTTCTTCATTCATTCATTCACTCTGTCGTTCACCTGTTCATTTTTAAAATACAGGTTTTTAAGAGAAATAATACAACTTATCCAAGAGGTTTTACAACATTTCCGAAATATTTTACAACATTTATAACTAAGCATGTTTAATTTGTCTTACTAGAAGTATAACAAATTGTATTGGGGATATACGCGTTTTCCCAAATTCAAACCTCTCTGCACAAGCCTTACCCAAGAAATTTCTCATACGACTGTATGCAATGGTTTCTACTGTCATCAGATGTGATTTACTGGCTAAATTCCAAAAACTCTGGTCATACAAAACTCCGACTCGTTGGTCCAGTTTCGTGCTTCGACTGCATTCTTCCATTTTAGAGAAGACCTCCTCGATTGGATTTAGGATCGGGCTACGAAATGGTAAGAATTGAAGCATCAAGCCGCTTCTTCCCAACATTTTTTTCTTTTTTCATGGTGGTAATTGCGTGCAAAAATTTAAATATACAGTGTCGTGTAAAATATTTCCGAAATGTTGTAAATTTTTTGGGTGTAAGTTGTATTGTTTTTCGTAAAGCCTGCAATTTCTTTGCAACTCGCGTCACTCGTTCTTACTTTTGTTCATTCATTCATTTGTTCATTCAATCTATTCGTCAGTTTTTTCCATTATATGGCTCGATCGATCAGTAATTTGTTCATTTGTTCGTTTATTCATTTGTTCGTTCGTTCATCTGTTCGTTCCTTCGGTTTTTCATTTCAGCTCTATCAATACAATATAATGAGAGCCTTTTATTTTAATACATGGGGCTAATAAACATAAAAATGCAAACATATGGATAAACACTCACAAACATACAAACATACACAATCACAAACATACAAATAGACAGTTATAAGCAAACAAACAAACAAACATCCACAAAAACACACATATTATTATTTGAATGCATTAAACATTAAAGAGTACCATTTAGGAATAGCCTATAAAGTAACGCATAATAACATAATACCAACTTGCTACATACAAATACCTACATATGCATACATCCATACATACATGCGTACGTACGTACTACTTTCAAGCATACATACATACAAACATACTCACATACATACATACAAACACACATACATACACACAAACACACACACACACAGAGATGATTGTTGCACACATGATTAAAAATAAAACTTATTCATCAAAATCATGAAAGAAATTTAAACAATACCAAAATAGGTATTTAGAGGTATTTATTTAAGTTCAAACATCAAAAATATACCCATTAGTATTACCTCTTTTGTTCGCTGTTATTTTTGAATACAAGTTAATACCGATTTTATGTATGTGCGTATGAATGTGTGCGTGTATGTATGTGTGCATGTAGACACGTACACATACACACACACCCGCACATGTACATACATACATACATACATACATACATACATACATACATACATACATACATACATACATACATACATACATACATACATACATACATACATACATACATACATACATACATACATACAAACAAACATACATACATTTGAAATTGAAGGTTATTTCGAGCATAGCATATTTATAATTGCGTTGTTGTTGTCTCTTCTGAAATAAAAACATGGAAATAGTTTAGACAAATTCACTTATTTTTAGTCTATTTGTTCATCCTGATGCTATTCATTTTTTCATTCATCTATCTATCCACCCGTCCATTCATCCATCTATCCATCTATCCATTCATTCATTTGTTCGTTCGTTCGTTCGTTCGTTCGTTCCATCATTCACTCCACATTCATCCATTTTATATTTTACTTTGATCAATTGTTTTGTTATGTTCAAATTATGAACTATTACATGCAAACGTACGCGAATACCAGCACACACACCACACACACACCACACACACACACAGGCAGACAGACAGACAAACAGACATACAGACATACACACACAGACGCATACACAGACGCATAAACAAACACATACACACACAGACATACATGTTTTCCATGTTAAATGCTTATTCGTTCGTTGTTTGGTTAGCAATTATGTACTTATTCACTTTATTCATTTGTTTTTATTTTATTTATGTATATATATATATATAGAGAGAAAGAGAGAGAGAGAGAGAAAGAGAGAGAGAGAGAGGGAAAGAGAGAAAGAGAAAGAAAGAGAGAGAAAAATAGACAGAAAGAGAGAGAGAGAGAGAGAGAGAGAGAGAGAGGGAGAGAAAGAAATAGGTATATATATTAAGATAGACAGATAGAGAGAGAGAGAGAGAAAAAAAAGGGAAAGAGAGAAGAAACAAAGAAAAAAAACAGAAAGAGAAACGAGGAGAGAAAAGAAAGAGAACTGAGAGATTGGAGATTGTTAAATATAACAAGATAGTTTAACAGATGAATAAATAGAAAGATAGATAGATAGAACAAGAGAGAGGGAGAGAGAGAGAGAGGGGAAAGAAAGAGAGAATATACATATACATAAATACATATAAGAATTAAAAAATGATTATAAGAATATGTTAATTTATGTTAATTACGTAGCGCTTTATTGAGACTTAATTTGGCATTTTTATGATATGAGCCATTTTCAAAGACGCACAAAAATATATAACAAAGGCGTGTTAATAAAAGTTGCTCCGAAATGGGTTTAATTAAATTTTCAGTTAAATTATGAAAAACAATAAAATGTAATTAAAAATGAATAAATTAGTTATTTAAATTAATAAATGATAAAAGCTAAAACAATGGAATCGAAAAACAGAAGCAATTAGTAGAATTACATTCATTCAAGCGTGATGTAGTGTGGTGTCATAAATCAATCCATCCATCCATTCTTCATTCATCCTTTGTTACCCCTTCTTTCGTTCAGTCATTCATTTTTTGTTCATTTATTTATACTTTTGTTTGCACGTTCGTTCACTCATTCATTCAATTGTTTATTTATTCATCCATTTATCCATCTTTCCATCATGTCATATACATCCAGCTGATTTTTCATTATCGAGCTTTATATACAAAACGCCTTTATGTATGTATGTACGTATGTATTTCTGTATGTATGTATGTGCGTGTGTATGTGTATGTATGTATTTATGTATGTGTGTGTATGTATGTATGTACGTACGTATGTATTTCTGTATGTATGTATGTGTGTGTATGTATGTATGTATTTATGTATGTATGTATGTATGTATGTATGTATGTATGTATGTATGTATGTATGTATGTATGTATGTATGTATGTATGTATGTATATATGTATGTATGTATGTATGTATGTATGTATGTATGTATGTATGTATGTATGTATGTTTATTTTAATTTGTAATACATCCTGTTGCTTAATTAATCCAAATCTGCCATAATTCATTCTCGACAGTCGTCTGCTTAATTTCATTTTCAAATCGAATAAAGAGATAGAGGCATGGATGAATGAATGAAGTTATTAAAAAGATAACAAATGAATGAGGGAATGAATGGTCGAAGGAATGAATAGATGGATGGATGAAGAAGTAAATGGATGTTTTATAGTCCAAAAATTTGCCTGCCAGACATGTTAACGCAAAAATTGAGCGAACGATTGAATGAACAAACAAACGAACAAACATAAAACAAACAAACCAAATACAAAAAGTATACAAATACACTCAGACACATAACCACAAATAAACAAACACACATACACTCGACGAAAACATCGGCTCATGACTTAATGCTCAATAAAGTAAGCATTGTTGAACACCCCCTGATCGCAAAAATGGAATCATCCATCCGCCCGTATTTACAAACATAAAAAAGTGAACTTATAGACATGGAATCATTTGAACAAACAAACGCGTGAGTGTGTTTTTATGTGTGTATGCATGCTTGTATGTTTGTTTGTATGTATGTTTGTTTGTGTGTGTGTGGCGTGTGTATGTGTGTGTGGCGTGTGTGTGTGTGTTTGTATGAGAACATTCCTCTAATTAAATATTTCAGTGACGTAACCTAGAAGTTATTTCAAAGGCGGAGTTTTGTAGCTACGTTTTTGCTTTCTTTGTTGTCGCTGATGCTTGATTGTTGTTATGTTGCTGTTATTGTTGTTATGTGTTGTAATTGTTGTTGTGGTTGTGGTTGTTGTTGTCTTCGTTGTATTGTTGTTGTTGTTGTTGAGGGTACACTGTTGTTGTTCTTATTAAAAGGCTTTGAAGCGAGTAAGTTTTAGAATTTGCTTCTCAAATCATCATGTCAAGAATTGAATAACAATTTTACCTCTATTAAATCTACCATCATCATCAGCACCAACAACATCATCATCAACAACAACTAGATCATCATCGTCGTTGTCGTCATCGTCATCAACAAAATATACGACTCTGTTGGGCACCGACTTCATCAATTTGAAATCAATTTCATTCAAAACTTGACTGTAAGAATCAAACAAAGACAAACATTCACACACACGCAAGCACACACATGCATACATACAGACACATACATTATACACACACGCACATTCATACACACACACACGCGCATACACACAATTAAAACTCGCATACATAATATTAACTTTTTAATTTTAAGATACCTTAAATCATCCTATTTGCATTAACTCGCTAAACCAGTTTAATTATTTATTTAAAATTCAAACGAACACACACACACATATATACACACACACATTTACACGCACATACACACACGCGCATAAACACACGCACGCACGCACACACACACACACACACACAAACGCAAAAATTCGTGCAGTCGGTAGATTGGACAATTGAAAATCTAATTCAATTTTTGATTCAAATAAAAATATATTTTCTCGCGATGTAGATGTTGTTGTTACAATGTTTTGTTAGTAGTCGCTGGAGTAGCAGCAGCAAAAGCAGCAATAGCAGTAGCAGTAGCAGCAGCAGCAGTAGCAGCAATAGCAGTAGCAGTAGCAGCAACACCAAACACACACGCACACACAGTCGTCTATTCAAAATCGTGCCTTTAGTTTATTAAACTTTTATCTCTGACGTTCACACAATTATGCTAATTACAGGTAAGTTATAATAAGTTAAACGAATTCAACATCATCATCCTCCCCATCCCAACTCCTTTTGCCATCATCACCATCATCATTATCATCGTCATCATCATCATCATAATTGTCATTATCAATAATATTAAAACCAAAAATCATCCTCTTATTTCTCTATGTTATTAGTATAATATATTGTTATATATATATATATATATATATGTGTGTGTGTGTGTGTGTGTCTTTGTTTATGTCTCTGTGTGTGTGTGTGCATACATAGTTTTTTTATGATGTATGTTTATATATACGGGTTCAGAATGAAAATGTGTGAAATGAATGAAAGCTAAGTTAAGGGTCAGAGCGCAAAATATCATCTGTTGTGTGACTCTGAGTGTGTTTGTATGTGTGTTTGTGTGTGTGTGATTAGTGTGTTTGTT